AAGTTTTATATATATAAAATGTATATATATATATATTATAAAATTATAGCCCAGGTAAGGATTATATGTGTGTACTTTACATATTATGTGGAAATGTTCATTGCTGGGTTTCTTCCCCTCTTAAGCAGAGTGTGTGTACTTAGGAAGCTCATCTGTTCTCTTCTTAGCCTTCTTGTCTTAAACTGTGCTCATATAATCTCTTTAGTCTGTGATGGGATTTAGGCAGCATACCAGGCCTAACTCAGAGGGAACAGGGAGGAAAGCTTCCTGAAGATGTGGTAAGCGATCCTAGCGTGTTCATTGCTGGGTTTCTTCCCCTCTTAAGCAGAGTGTGTGTACTTAGGAAGCTCATCTGTTCTCTTCTTAGCCTTCTTGTCTTAAACTGTGCTCATATAATCTCTTTAGTCTGTGATGGGATTTAGGCAGCATACCAGGCCTAACTCAGAGGGAACAGGGAGGAAAGCTTCCTGAAGATGTGGTAAGCGATCCTAGCGTTGAAGAGTGCAGATGTTCCTGTCATCTTCAAGAACATGTGCTTTTTATTATTTTTTATTTTATTTTATTTTATTGGTTTTTTTTGAGACAGGGTCTCCCTATAGCCCCATCTGGCCTGGATTCACTTTGTAGACCAGACTGGGCTCGAATTCACAGAGACCTGCCTGTTTCTACCTGTCATGTGCTGGGATTAAAGGTGTACGTCACCACACCCAGCTAATGCTTTTTTTTCTTTTTTTTTTTTTTCATTATTTTTATATTATGTGTTTGAGTGTATTGCCTGCATATAAGTGTACCCGTGTCATGTAGTGCCCACAGAGATCAGAAGAGGGCTTGGATTCCCCTGGAACTGGAGTTAGGGATGGTTGCTGGCTACCATGCAAGTGCTGGGAATCAAACCCAAGTCCTCTGCAAGAGCAGCCAATGCTCTTAACCGCTGAGCCATCTCTCCAGCTGCTTTATTTTGGTTTTGCTCTTCTGTCTTAATCTGATTTGTGTGGGGGCTGGCTGTTTTTTATGTCCTTCCACTTTTCATCCTTGCCTGTTATCTAGGCCAGTGTTTCTCAAGCATTAGTTTTATGGCTTTTGTTGAAACGTCCGTTCTGATTCAGTACTTCTGAGATGGAGCTTAAAAGCCTAAATTTTTTTTTAGAACTTTTTTAATTTTAATTTTTTTTTTAATTTTAAAATTTTATGTGTATGCATGTATTGCCTGCTTGTAGGTAAGTGCACCTGTGTCATGCAGTGCCCGCGGAGGTCTGAAGAGGTTGTCGGATCCCCGGTACTGGAGTTACAGACAGTTGTTAGCTGCCATGTGGGTTCTGGGATTCGAACCCATGTCTTCTGCAAGAGCATCCAGTGTTCTTAACCACTGAGCCATCTCTCCAGCCCCATTAATTTTAATTTTTAAAATATTTTATTTATCATTATTTTTTAAATTTTGTTTATTTTTATTTTATGTGTATGCTTGTGTTGCCTGCATGTAAGTAAGTGCACCCATGTCATGCAATGCCTGTGGAGGTCAGAAGAGGCTGTCAGATCCCCTGGGACTGAAGTTACAGACAGTTGTTAGCTGCCATGTGGGTGCTGGGATTCGAACCCAGGTCTTCTGCAAGAATAATCAGGGTTCTTAACCCTAAGCCATCTTTCCAGCCCCTTATTATATTTTTTTTAACAGAGTATAGGGTAGGGGTTTATTTACAGAAGAGTGGGCGCCCCACATTTACAGCAGTTCCTGTGACCTTCCAACAGCTGCACAAAATGGTGACAGAGGTGCCTCTTGGTGTTCTCAGCTTATATATCCTTTGCCCCTCCCCCCACATGCAGCTAAGTTTAACTGATTGGATGGGAGGGATAACTGACTCCCCCCTTGACTCCTTGATGAGCGTGGGAAAGAGGTGTGACTATAGCTTGCTGGCATAGTGGTGGGAGGACATTTCCAGTTAACACTCCACCCTTTCACTCCAGCTCTTACATTCTTACCTCCAACCTCTTCCACAAAAGTCCCTGAGCCTTGGAGGGGTTGGTAGGTGTGGGATGCTTCTGTTTGCAGCAAGGCACTGAACTTTCGGGTCTCTGGATCATGGGCTGTTGGCCAGTTTCAGTGGGATTCCATCTACTATAAAAACACACACATCAAGAAGGAAGAAATCCAAACAGTGACTGCTATGATAACTTAACCTATGGTGTAAACACAAATGCTTGTTCAATACTTTAGCAGGTGCATCATTTCCATCTAACAAAGCAATTGCAGTGACTTCCCACTGGGGCCTATAGTCTTCCCTGCCCCAGGGGGTTGCTGGGTCTACAGTGCCAGATGTGTGTTCCACCCCTAAGGAGCCCGAATTTCTAACAAGGTGATGCTGATGTTGCTGGTGTTCTTTATGAAATTGTAATTATGAGGCTGATTATGGTGGTGCACACCTTTAATCTCAGCAGAGGCAGACGGAGCTCTATGAGATTGAGGCCAGCCTGGTCTATGTAGTGAGTTCTAGGCCAGCTGGGACTACAAGAAGACCCTGTCTCAACACCCTTACCAAATAAAAAAGTAATAATGGAAAAACATAAAAGGATTTAATAAACATAAAAGTTGCTTGCTCGTTCTAAAATTTGAGAAAGACTAAAAGTAGGAATTTTTTTAATCATAAAGTTATGTACTTGTGTTTCTTTTTAGTTTTAATATTTCTTTATTTCGAGCGAAATATTTCAAGAATAAAGTGCTTTCTTTATTTAACCCCTGCTCATTCATGTTGCTCCTGCCTGGAGTCTGTTGCTGTCAAATGTAGGATTTATAGGCCTATGGTGATTCACATTTCTACTAACTGTGTCATCGTCATTCTTAAACTTCAGTTTTGAAATATTTAAGAGGTGATTCATCATCTTGCAAGTAAAGATTTAGATGGCATTAGTGCAAGTGATGCTGTAGCGTGCATTCTCCACAGGTGTCATGTGTGCCTGTGTGAGGGTGCCTTTAGTCCTCTTTTGTGCTCTTAATTTATACCATTTTATTGTGCTTTAAGAATTGGATCTGCTTTTTCAATGCAGCGGATTTACTTATGTCATTATTCTTTAAAAATAATTAATTTTTAATGTTTAGTTTGGGGTGGGGGGGTTAACGAGTATAAGTGTTTTGCCTGCCTGTGTGTGCAATGCCTGTGGAGGCCAGAGAGGGTGTCAAATCCTTTGGAACTGGAATCATGGGTGATTGTTAGCTGCTGTGTGGATGCTGGGAACTGAATCCCGGTCCTCTGTAAGAGCAGCCATTGTTCCTAACCACTGAGCCATCTCTCTGGCCACTTAACATATAGTTTTTATTGCTATGTATCATAATTTACTTAACCTGTTGTTAGGCATCTATAAGTTTCACACAGTGATGAGTATCTTTGTATACAAAGCTTTTTAATATTTAGAAATTTTGTGTGTGGCGGGGGGTGCTTTTTGAAACAAGGTCTCCCTATAGCCTCAGCTGGCCTGGAACTTGCTATGTAGACCACACTGGCCTTGATCTCTCAGAGATCCACTTGCCTCTGCCTCCCAAGTGCTGGAATTAAAGGCCTGCACCACCATATCTGGCTCAATCTTAAGAATTTTTAACTTTCTCAGGAATTTGTTTGCTAAGGCAAAAGGTGATGTTTTTAAGGTTTGTGCTGTCACATTTCTAACTTTTATATCATTTCACTAATGAACTGAACTTAAGGTGAATACCCAGGTGAATGTATTCTTTCTACCTTCAATTTCAGGCCATTGCAAACCAGCCCTGGGCTCAGAAACTTATGTTTAATAGTCCAGGTTTTGTAGAATATGTGATGGACCGGTCTGTGGAACATGACAAAGCTTCAAAGGATGCCAAATATGAACTGGTAAAAGCACTAGCCAATTCCAAGACTATCGCAGAAATCTTTGGAAACCCAAATTATTTGAGACTCAGAACTTACCTCAGTGAAGGGCCATACTACGTGAAACCTGTTGCCACCACAGCCGTAGAAGGAGCTGACTGATTTCCTCCAGTCTGTGTAGAGGACCGTTACTGATCAGAATGTCTCCTAAGGTGTATGGTTCCATCAGTGTTTTATGAAACAGGGACTTCCCTCTTCCTAAAGCTATCATGGAGTGTCTAATACAACCTCATCAACATTGTTGCGTTTCTACATTGAATACAAAGTGGGAACATGATCATAGGAGTGCTTTTCAGATTCCTGTGGCTGCCTTAATCTTTGCAACAAGGTAAAAGCTTTGTTCTCAGAAAATTCCCATGAACATATGACTTTTTAAAAATAAAATGATTTTGAATTCCCTTTATCGCTTTTTTTTCCCTTTTTCTTCTGATTCCACCTCAAAGTCAAAGTCTGGGATATATCTTTTGAAAAATAAGTAGTTTGGAAACATCAAATTATGTTCTCTGTATTTCAAGGAATAAATACTTGTAATAAAATCTCTTGGTACTTTTCCTTTGAAAATGAAATAAATATCTGTGCTGGGTAGCTTAATTGTCAACTTGACACACCTGGATAGAGGAAGCCTCAGTTGGGGAATTGCCTCCATTAGACTGGCCATGTCTGTGGGGCATTTTCTTGATTTTTGAGTTACATAGGCATGTCCAGCCCACTGTGGGCAGTGCCACTCTTGGGCAGCTGGTTCTGTAGTGTATAAGAAAGAAGGCGTGGTGGCACCTTTAGTTCCAGCACTCGGGAGGTAGAGGCAGGCAGATTCCTGAGGGTTCCAGGCCAGCCCCAGTCCGTGGAGACCCTGTCTCAAAAAAAAAGGAAAACAGATTGAGCGTGGACCAGGGGAGCAAGCCAGTAAGCAGTGTTCCATTCCTCCATGGCCTATGCTTCAGCTCCTACCTCCAGGTTCCTGCCCTGAATTTCTATCTTGGGCTCCCTCAGTGATGCACTGTGACCTGGGAGATGGAAGCCTTTCCTCCCCAAGTTGATATTGGTCAGAGTGTTTTGTCACAGCAATTGAAAAGAAACTAGGACAATCTCTAAAAGTTGTTTGGTATTCTTTTGATGATGTTCCTGTTTATGAGTAGTTTACATGTTGTGGTTAAGGGAAAGAAGTGTGCTAACATATTAACCAAAATGATCCCTAAACTGCCATTTTCTTTATTGGTGGGTCATCGTTGTTGAAGGGTCCATGAAGTCTTGTCTTGAGGTGATCAGACAGAGAAACTGAGTCCTAATAACTAGCATGAGAGAAGAAGGAACACTGTACAGCAGGATGCCATCTCAGTGCTTTATGAAGGTTATCCCTCCCATTGACAAAAACCGTACCCACCCGTTTCCTAGTGTTCGTTTGTGCACCAAAATTGCTTGCTCAGAGGTTTCTGCCTGAGCTTGTCAGTGACAGCTTTGGCAAGGTTGATGAACCATCCCTGCTCTGTAACAAATGGTTCTCACATGAATGGAATACTGGTCCAGATTTATCGTCTCTCTCAAGTGTCTTGAGTTTGCTTTATCCATGTTTCCATGCTGATCGTTTCTCTACTGTTGATGTCACTGATTTGGCTACAGCCTGATCTTTCCTGGCCTGAAGTATTTAAAATGACTTTTGCTTTAATGTCAGTCATGATGCCCTTGGTTTTTTTTCTTAATTTTTTTATTGTAGTAAAATGTTTGTGTGTGTGTGTGTGTGTGTGTGTGTGTGTGTGTGTGTGTGTATCACATGGTAAAATAAAATTTACCACTTTAAAGTGAACTTTCAGTAGTGTATATATGTGCAAGTGCTGTGCAGTTAGCACTACCCTCTATCTCCACAATTCTGTTTAGCTTATAAAATTAAAATTACATAGCCATTAAGCAATTGCTCCCTATTTCACCTCGGCCCCTAAAAACCACCATTCTAAATCATAATGTCAACTTTACGAATTTAACATCAGAGTTCAGAGGGGTGCCCTTTCTCCTGTGTGTGACCTGCATACTCATTCTGGTTTTGGTCCTGTGAATTTTTTGGGTTTAATAAAATCTGTAAGGTGTGTGTGTGTGTGTGTGTGTGTGTGTGTGTGTGTGTGTAGCTTTTCACAAATTACAACAGTCCAGTGAGGGCTTCAGGGCAGAGAGAAAAAAAAGCTAGAGGTGTGTCTTGCCACTGAGTTGACCCAAGGCCATTCCTGCCAGGGAGCCTTAAGAGGGAGTCAAAGCTGTGCACTGCCCCAACTGCACCTCCAGAAGCAGCTGCTGTGCTAATTGAGGTTCTTTGGGGAGAAAGTTGCCTGGTCTCTCAAAACCCTTACAGACTGGTCCCAGAGCCACAGCCCCTCTTAGAGGTGTCCGTCATCCACACTGGCTCTGGGACTGTATTCATCCGCCAGTACCTGAGATACCACATCTACCATCAGAGAGAGCAGGCTTGCACTTCATGCTGCTGAGACAAGTGCTGATCCTAATTCCAACGCTTCGTGGCCCTAAGCCATGGAACTGGACCTTTGCTTCAGTGCATTCACTGTGAGTTAGTAGCATCTCTATCCAAGCTCTTCACAGTGTGCCATACTCACACTTGGTGCTCCATTTCCCAGCCAAGTTGCTACAGTCCTCTCCCATGATAAAAAGTTGTCTAGGAAGCACTCCCTCTCTCCCATCCCACTTGCTGCTGAATCCTGCACCTGGGTTTTTGGAACCTAGTTCCGCAAGAGCAGCTGTGACTCCAGTTTTTGAGCCTACACAGTACCCTGCCCCTCAAGGAATAGACAGGCCTAATGGAGGTGCCAGGTCCCCCTCAGAGCCTAAACCAATCTGGTACCCTGACTCCAGGAAAATGGGACTTTGGCCTAGAGGAACAACCTTGATGCTTGAACCTTCTTCGCACTCCTGGCTCCCAGGGAAATCTTGGCTGATCAGTATCTCCCCATCTTCTGGGAGGAATAGCCACAATGTCTCACCTTCCTGGATCTGAATCTGCCTTTTAGAGTCTGAGATGCTTAAGTATGCCATTTCATGGGGAATGAAGTCAACAGCTTCTCACCCTCTAGAGACCATGTCACACTTGTGCCCCACCATTCCTAGGACATTGCTGCCCTCGTGCCTACCTTCACAGCCTGTACTACAACCTGCTTTATCCTACCATTCCAAGACCTGTATCACTGCCATGCAGAAAGTTTTATGTGACTGCTCAAGTGGGTGCTGTGTCCCATTGGCTTCAGAACTCAAATTGCAACTCTTGAGAATCTGTGCCTCTGGAACATATTTTTCCCTGGAGCCATGCAAATGCTGGGCCCTGACCCCTAGGGTCAGATTCACAATTCTATCCCTGTCCCCTGAGCCTGAGATACTGGGGAGCTCCCAAGAGTTATAATCCTTGGCTTGGTGGGAGACCTGTATCCACTCATGCTGCAGTGATCTGTATGTGTGTGAATCTAGATGTCTCAGTAGTTCAAGACACAGCCCTGGAACAGTAAGCCTCAGCATCAAGAGGCATCCCCTCAGCTAAATCCATCTTGTGAAAACAGAATAGGAATTGCTCCCCCAAATAATCTACCTTGCTACCACTGTTGCCACAGAAACAGGGAGGACCCCAGGCCTTTGAAGCAGCCATGGTCATTGGTGACAGACTACAGCCAAAGAAGCTGTACAGAGAGAGGCTGCACTGTTAGAACCATCAGGAACCAGAGACAGCAGTCCCTACAACAGGTAAGGCTAGGGCCCAACTGCAGGTGAGTCCCTATGCGTGGACTAACTGGAGTAGCTATTCCAGAAACTAACTCCAAAGATGGAATTTATGAATTGCCTGATGAAGACATGAAATTTAATGATCTCAGGGAAACTCAACAACATACACGAGAAGGCAGAGAACTTGATGAAATCAGGATAGTGATTTATCATCTGTCTACAACAAAATGTCTATCCTTCTATCCAAATGGCCTACTTCATCTGTAGATATGTATTTAATCTATTGTTAGAAATAAATTGGATGGTTCATTTTCAAAGACGCCTCAAGTCAGCTTAGGTCCAACTACAAATGAACTACTAATGCAAGGTCATGTGCCTGGTAGGCTATAAAATAAACAGAACGTAAAGCAGAGATGAACCCATGAACAGCTTTTATTGAGAAAAAGACAAATGTAAGCAACAGAGGGAAAGATAAAACCTAAATGACCCGAAGGATTGCACCCTCTGATTATCCAAAAAAGGGACAAGGGCCATCGGTCAGGGCTTATAAGCTACTCTCTGCATGCAATCAGTGATCCTGCTGAATCACATGCCTGTCATTGTAGGCTGCCTTCACAAGATCACAAAATAAACTCCTTTCCTTTCACTACTCTTAGGTGCCCAGAATCTGAATATGAAGTGAGGATCACTGTTTCTCATGTCTATGTAGTCTATCAATATCCCAGTGATGGGGCTAGAGAGATGGCTCAGCAGTTAAGAGTACTGGCTGCTCTTGCAGAGAACCTGAATTTGGCTCCCAGCACCCATATGACTGCTAATACCATCTGTAACAGTTCCAGGGGATCTGATGCCTCTTTTTGACCTCCTCAGGCATTGCATTACATAGGTGCACTTACATGCAGGCAAAACATTTATACACATAGAATACAAATATTTTTTGTATTTTGTTTATTTATTTAATTTATGTGTATGGATGTATTACCTGCATGTATCTAAGTGTACCCATGTCATGCAATGCCTGCTAAGGTTAGAAGATGGCGTCAGATTCCCTTGGAACTGGATTTACGGATGGTTGTTAGCTGCTATGAGTGTGCTGGGTGGGAATCAAACCCCAGTCTTCTGGAAGAGCAGCCAGCACTCTTAGCCACTGAGCCAACTCTTCAGCCCATAAAAAGAAATATTTTTTTTTGGTCTTTTTGAGACAGGGTCTCCCTGTAGCCCCAGCTGTCCTGGAACTCACTTTGTAGACCAGGCTGGCCTTGAACTCACAGAGATCTTCCTGCTTCTGCCTCCCAAGTGCAGGGATAAAAGTCATGTGCCACCACGCCTGGCCATAAAAAGAAATTTTAAAAATTAAAAAAAAAATTGAGTCAGGATAATTATGTTTATAAAAACCCCAATGACATTTCTCAGAGAAATAGAAAAAAATAGTAAATTGTGGAAGCTCAAAAGACACTAAATAATCATCAATATCAAGCAAAAAGAACAAAGCTAGAGGCATCACAGCACCTGACTTCAACATATACCCCAGAGCTGTGGTGATGAAGACAGCATGGGATTGCCATACAAAAATACACAGATGAGTGGAACAGGACCAAGTGCTCAGAAATAAATTGATAAGTTTATGACCAATTGCGAAAAGACGCCAAGAACACAAAGTGCATTATCCTGAACAAATGGTGCTGGAAAGAGATGGATATCTACATGTGGAAAGATGAAATAAGAACTTCATCTCACAGCAGATTAAAAAGCAATGCACATCGGAGTAAAGCTTCAAACATAAGACCAAAAACTGTCAAACTACCAGAATAAAACAAGCAAAAAGTTCCAGAATATTTATCTAGGAAAGACTTTTTTATATAACCCACAAAACAGAGTCAACTCAATCACAAACAGGCAAGTGAGATCATCTCAAACTACAAGGCTCTGCATAGTGACCATAACAACAGTGAGGAGAGAGCCTATAGAACGGGAGAGAATTGGGCCAGGCGTGGTGGCACCTTTAATCTCAGCACTTGGGAGGCAGAGGCAGGCAGATCTCTGTGAGTTCAAGACCAGCCTGGTCTACATAGTGAGTTCCAGGACAGCTGGGGCTACAGGGAGACCCTGTCTCAAATAGACCAAAAAAAAAGGGGGTGTGGGACAAAAATTTGAAAACCATCATCTGGTAATAGGTTAAACGTTAAAATATATCAAGATAAAGGACAAAAATAAAAGATGAGAAAAATCTACAGAACCCAGTAACAAGAAAGCAACTCAATTCAAAACCAAACAAAAGACCTAAATAGACATTTCTCAAAAGAAGACATGAAAATGGTCAGCAGAGCTAGGCACAGCGGTGTGCTCTGGTCATCCTAGGTACTCAGAGGCCAAGATAAGTGGGCTCTGGAATTTAAGGCCAGCCTGAGCAACCACCATGACCCCATCTCAAAACAAAAACAAACAAACGCTTCTCACAAAAACTACAAATGGCCAAGTGAAGCGGAAAAATGAAAATGAAAAATTAGAACCACAGTGAGATATCACTTTTACCTTTTAGAATGGCTTATATAAAAAAGACAAAAGATAACCAGTGTTGGTGAGGATACGGAGAAAGGGGAGTCCTTGCACACCATTGGTATGAATGTAAATAGTAGACCATTATGGAAAACAGTGTGGCATTTACTCAAATGTTAAAACTGGAACTAGAATACAATCCCACAATCCTGCTGCATATGTTTCCAAAGGAAATGAAATCAGAATTTTGAGGAGATCACTGCAATATGATTCACAGTAGTCAAAACATGTAATCAACTGAAGTGTCTGTCCATCAGTAGATGAACAGATAAAGAAAATGTGAATTAGAGCCAGTGAGACGGCTCAGTGGGATGATTCATCAGATGAAGATACCTGATGCCAAGTCTGATGACCTGAGTTCGGGCCCCACAACCCACATGGTAGGAGGAGAGAACGTCCTCCAGGAGATTGTCCTCTGCCCTCCACAAACACTTCATGACACACACACACACACACACACACACACACACACACACACACGATGTAATAAAAAGAAAACGTGGGTTATAGCCACAAAGGAATACTATTCACCCTTAAGAAAGAGGTCCTATCATTTGCAGCAACATGGGTGAACCTGGAGGACATCATGGTGAGTAAAACAGCCAGGCACAGAAGGACAAACAGCCATGTTTTCACTTATATATGCAGTGTAAAACTGCCAAACTCAGTGAAGTGATGGTTTCTAGGTGCTGGGAGGGGGAGGGGAGACCAGGGAAATCATCAGTTTAACAGGAAAAGTGCAGGAAATCTATTATACTTCACAGTAATGATGGTTAATAGCAATATATATATATATATATATATATATATATATTATATATATATATATATATTTGAAAACTGCTACCACAATATATATGTTAAATTTAATGTTCTGTCTTTTGGGTGGTTTTGGGGGGAGGTTTTTTTGGTCTTTTTGAGACTGGGTCTCCCTGTAGCCCCAGCTGTCCTGGAACTTGCTGTGTAGACCAGGCTGGGCTTGAACTCACAGAGATCTGCCTGCCTCTGCCCCCCAAGTGCTGGGATTAAAGGTGTGCACCACCATGTCCAGCTTATGATTTTATTTTTAGAAAATATTTTATTATTATGTTTATGTGCATAAGCATATTGCCTGCATACATGTAAGTGCATGTGTATCATGCAATGCCCACAGAGGCCAGAAGAGGGTGTCAGATCCCCTGGAACTGGAGTTACAGACAGTCGTTAGTTGCCATATGGGTGCTGGGAATGGAACCTGGGTCCTCCGCAAGAGCAGCCAGTGCTCCTAACCGCTGAGCCATCTCTCCATCCCTCACAATTTTATTTTGAAAGGATCACATCAAACTAATTTAAATTTCTTAAAACAAGACACCAAGATTGAGTACATCAGAACACTAAAAGCATTTTGTATTTTTGCTAAGTATGAATAAATATTCACAGAGGCTAGATAAGACATGGGGACAGAGAATTGCTTTCTATAATGTGAAAATAGCAATTTAAAAATAATAGACTTAGAGGAAAAGCAAATGAATACTAATCACCCAAATACATAGCACTGTCTTTTGTCGTTTCCTTGTAATAATGCTTAAAGCTGTCGAGGTATGTTAGAAGCTTGCAAGAAATGAGCCCATAGTAAGTCTCAATCAGTGAACACTCTTTCCCATCGTTAATTTCCTCCCATGCCAGGGAAATTTCAGCATCTGTAGTTTCTGAGGATGTAAAAATGAATTTATAGCAACATCTATTATATCGAATGTGTCTTTTTCCAGAAAACCTTGAACTGTGAGTGGGTATAAGACCGATGGACTTAGCACAAATTCCTACAAACACATCTGCAGGTACCATAACAGGTACTTGGTTGAAAACCACATACATCATCCGAGCCACATCTTGGGACATTATAAAGGCCTCACCACTGCAGTAATCTGGGTAGTATTTTTCTGGATGCTCACTAACAGGGACAAATTCTTGGCTCTGGGGGTCTCTGTTGGGTATATCCTGATGAATAACTCTTCCTGCATAGACCCCTTCAAGGTGTTCTTTCAGATTGAGAAGATAGTCCACCAGGCTTGGTATGTTGATAAACATCTCCTCATCAGCTTTGAGAATGAATAGGGCATTAGGACAGAAAGTCACAGCCCACTGGGCCATTGTGATGATCTTCAGGGTTTGGTTTTCAGAACTGTCCAAGAAGATTCCTTCAATTATATCATTATTCTTGTGAGATTCTATGTCTATCTCTCTCTGGGTAGTTACCAAAACTGGCATTCCCAGAGCAAACAGTGTGAGAATGGGGTATCCTTGGACACTGGTCACACTGCCCCAGGTTTTCCTGATGAGATCCCGTCTTGTTCCATTTCCTGGGCTACTGAAGATAAGAGAGAGCAGAAAAATGTTCTTCCCGCGACACACCTCCGGCTGGCTCAGGATGTAATATTTGGAAGGATTATTTCTTAAAGGTTCCATGTTCAATTTTCTTGCCTTGTTCTTAATTTCAAGAATTTTCATATCTACATGAGGCAAAGAATGAAGAAAGTATTCTTCCACAAAGTCAGCCCCAAATAGCAAGGCATGAAATAGTATGACATTAAACAGAATGAAACACCACTGGTGAGTCCGAAGTCTGCAGAATGTCACCTAAATTAGAAAAGGAGATACATTCATTCAAGCTTCATTTTCGCCAGTTTATTCTCCCAGCTGACCCCTATGTGGACTTCTTACAGTACTTAGCAGCATAGTCTGTTATTACCTATCTCTTCTGCTAGATTGCAGTCTCCTGGACCACATGCGTTATTTTTCTTTCTTTTCTAGTGCTGCTGAGTCCAGTGCTTTCCAGAAAGTGAAATGTTAGTTAAGCAAATGTTAGTTAGATGTTTACTTCCTTATTTGGATAAAAAGTTTGCATAGTATAAAAAAGATACTGTGTGAAACACTGGCGATGCAAAGAATCAGGCACAGACACAGACACAGACACCATGTATCAAGCTACATCATTGAGATAAAAACCTGCAGGAAAAACACATGTTCTTTCTTGAATGGAAGCACTTGGATCAGTTCCTTCTCTAATTACAAAGGTCAAGGGCTGTTTTCCATGATGTGGTTGCTCTTGGGGGGTCTACCACACATTGGCTACTTATCAAACATTTATATTCCTCTAGTGTAATTTTCTATTTAATCTACTAAATCAGAGTAGTTTGATGGTATTTCCTAACCCATAAGACATGTCTGTCAATATGGGTAGATCCCTGCTACCTGCAGAACAGGCAGACCTAGGATGGACCTGTGCTGGGCTTACTCCATCTCATCCAAAGACAAAGTTTCCATCTGAAAGGGACCATGCAGAATGACGACAGAGTAGGGAATACTAAAGGAATTAAAACTCTGTTCATTAGAACTTTGATTTTAAAATGGATCTCATGATAATAATTACCTCTTACTGAGTACTTGTGTGTCAAACACTGTGCTAGGTGCTTTACGCCTTAAGTCATTTAACCCAAGAAATACCTCTTTCAGATAGATTAGCTTCAAAATTAACAGGAACATCTAAGTGATTTAATGATTTTCCCAACAGCACACAGTGGGTAAAAGATTAAGGTGAAGTTATGATTGGTCAGAGTCTAACATTTACTCATAACCACTGGGGAATTCTGATTCTTCCTCTTCCTTGTCCATAGCCACTAAATAGAAAACAAAAAAACAAAATAAAACTGACCTTTTACAGTTATCTGCACTGCTTTTCATTTTCTCAGTGCTAATGATTTACATGCAGAAGAACCTATATTTTTTTTTTTGGTCTTTTTGAGACAGGGTCTCCCTGTAGCCTGAGCTGTCCTGGAACTCACTATGTAGACCAGGCTGGCCTTGAACTCACAGAGATCCTCCTGCCTCTGCCTCCCAAATGCTGGGACTACAGGCATGCACCACCATGCCCGGCAGAAGAACCTATTTTAATAGAGATTAAACGCTTCAAAGATGATCAGAAACTTACCTGCATTGTTGTCTATGAGCAGCTTCAGGGCTTTGGAAATTATTAAGTCCAGATATCAAGTATTGCCCTAAAGAATGTTAGGAAAACTAATAGCAATTGCAGTCGAGTACTTGGAGCCTTGGACTTTGAGGATAAGGTTTCTCGCCAATCAACCTGAGCTTTTGTACATAGGAGGGTGAGTACTGATCGGGTTGCAGCCAGTGCAAATTCAGAACAAAGAAGAGAAAACGCAAACCTCATCAAACAAGTCCACCCTGTGTATCTCATGAAGCCGGCTTCTTATCTTCATGCTGGGTTCCTGGTGTGTATGGGAGTTCACAGAATTATTCACTTGTATCACCTTTCCACAGCATCATCATCCAAAGAGAAAAACAGTGAGCTTTTTAAAAAAGTGCATCTCAATATACTAAACAGTAGGAATAATGCCTAATCCCTGGTATATGCACATATTAAAACTGCTCTAAACATCAAGGAACACATGATCCCTAGTGGTGCATTTTTTTCTCTCCAAGGAAAAAAAACATATATTCAGATCTGATGATGTCTCATTTGGAAAGATTCTGGATTTCTGGTTTCAGCTATGTAAGATATCAATTATAAGAAATACAAAGTACCCCAATGTGGGCTACCCTGTCTCAAAACCACCCTCGCAGGACAAGAAATACAAACTACATCCCTCAGGTAAGTTTATCTCCAAATAGAAAATTTCATATAGTCCATTTTAATCCTGAGCTGAAGAAACTAAGAATTTGGTATTTGCTGTTCCCTTGAAACATGTAGGAGTTATGTTAAATATTCCTACCTGCAAGTTTACGTCAAGAAATGAGTTCAGCATATTTTCGTATTATTACCACTCGAGCAATTATATTGAACATTTTGTTCGCATGCCAGGTGATATTTTTTATTTTCACATATTGAGCTCTCTATTCACCATTTATAGCCTTTGTATAGCTGTTAGGAATAAGTCCTGGGGCTGGAGAGATGGCTCAGTGGGTAGGAACACTGACACTGATTGTTCTTGCAGAAGACCCGGGTTCGAATCCCAGCACCCACATGGCAGCTAATAACTGTCTGTAACTCCAGTTCCAGGGGATCCAACAGCCTCACCTGTCCTCCACATGCACTGCACGACACGGGTGCACTTACTTACATGCAGGCATAACACTCACACACATAAAATAAAATAATAAATAAAACTTTTTTTTTTTGACAAAAAAGAAGTCCTTAGGGATGTGGCTCTGCTACCCATGCTCCACTAGATGGCCTACACCCATATACATACTGGCAGCCCTGAGTGGGCCCAGAAGGTTAAAAAAAATGAACACATGAAGTTGGGAGGGAATAGTGGGGATGTGGGGGAAGAACTGGGATGGAGGGAATAGGGGTGGACCTGATCAAAACACATTGTATATTTCTACGACATTCTCAATTTAAGAGTCCTAGGGAGAAGAGGTGGGTAGGAAAAGAAAAACATTTTGTTTGAAAATGCCATAATGAAACAATATCTTGTATGTTAATTTTTAAAAGTAAATAAAAGATAACTTTACAATGAAAAGGAACTGTTCTTACACTCAAAGAAAGAATAAAGAAACAGCTTGACAATGAAAATGAACCATTGTTTCGCTAAAAGGGAAAGGGTAAGTCCTTGAAGTTGTCTATGTTTTCTGAACAACTATCTGATGATCTTGGAAAGTTTTACCAAGTGGGAAAATCTAACTTGAAAATTCAAATGAAAGGTAGTTTTGCATATACTAATGGGTCTTATAAATATCTAATGAAGCATAATTCTGTTTTTGAAATTTCCATTTTTGATGGTTACAAGTTGTGGTCACCGCCATCGGCGGCCGCTCCTCCATTCTCGTGGGTGCTGCTACTTTGTTCTCACCGGCGTCGAGGCTGCTCCTCCGCTTGCCCTGGGCTGAGACCCCTCTTCTGCCTACCCTTGGCTGAGGCTGCTCTTCTCCTCGCCTAGTGCTGAGGCAGCTCTTTTGCTTGCCCTGTGCTGCCTCCTGTCGCTGCTGCTTCTCCCCGGTCCAGGACCCCAGGGCTGGTGAGGAGACTGTGTCAGCAGAGCCACATTCAGACACAGGAGATCAGGTTCAGTGACACAGTTCTGTTTTATTGTGGGAAGGCACAAGCTTATATAGGGGTAGTGGTCCAATCACACAGCACAGCAAGTAGGATACCTAATTAGCATAACAAACAGCATCCTATTAGCATAACAGACTTAACGTCCTATCACAGAATAGAGGATAGGACATCTCATTAGCATACTGGGTTTCAGATTACAGAGCCTGGATTCCTGGAAACCACATGACCCTGACAGTTGCAGTATCACCCTAGGCTCAAGCCTGTCTCCCACAAGTTTTGCTGGTGGATCTTCTCTGGGCCTCAAATTTACAGTTTAGGTTTTTGTTTTTTTCAATGAGGGGGGGTCAAATAGCATTCTCTCTGGGAAGCTCCTTTTGAAACTTGCAGTTTGACTTACCCTGCTGTGGTTGAGACCACTGCTGCAAACAGATGTTGGTGCTTGGTTTTCCTCCCAACTTCTCTTTCATACAAGCTCTCCAATCTGCGTGTTTATGTCTTCCTCAATCTCATATAATGTCACTGGTCAACCTCTGGTGTAGACGTCTACAGTGGCTTCTTTTTGCCTACCAAATCAAATTTGCTCTTTGGGGACCTAATTTTGAGGCCCATACACTTGGTTTCCACCCCAAACAAATTTTCGAAATATTTTTAATGTGTATGCATGTGAACCACAGAGGCCAGAAGGTAGCACTGGATCTCTTGGAACTGGAGTTACAGGGAGTTGTAAGCCACTTTGTGCCTGCTGGGAACTGAACCCGGGTCCTCTTCAAGGGTGATAAGTTCTCTTAGCTGCTGAGCCATCTCCCCAACTCCCCAAACGATTTTTGTTTTCAGTGCTTGAAGCATCCTGGATGCAGTCAGAATACTTGGAACTTTGCTGTGTTCAACCACTAACTGGATATGTGACTTTGTTATTTTCTATATATGTAAATTACTGGACTATTCTGTCCAGTACAGCAGCCATTAGCCACACATGGCTATATTAATTTAAATTAACTATAAAAAATTTAAGAAAAATTAGTCCTTTGGTTATGTTAGTTGCTTTACATAGTACGCAAAGAGGCTAACGACACCTAATTAGGACAAAAACAGAGTATTTTCATCATTACTGTGGACCTTATTGCTATAAGGCTATAAGATATGGGCGTATGCTGTCTACAAGTCTAGTGTATGGGCCCTGACAAGCACAGAAGGATAGTTTGTGCTCTGAAGTTCGTTTGGGTTTAATCCTCTGACAGTGACTATAACCTTAGGCAAGATGCCTAACCTTCTTTTGACCTCAGTTTCCCCATCTCTAGATATGGAGCTAATAATAGTAACTACCTTGTAAAGTTCTGGGAATTTATACAATAACATATGAAGTGTTTACAGGTGTGTAGCTCTTAGCACTGTTTTAATTGCTGATGCTAAAAGATTTACCTGCTTCTTCTTGTCCAGTCCTGAAGACAGAGAGATCAGAGCACTATGAAGGGACAAAGGAGGAGGGAGACCCACCGGTCCCTAGGGGCACTGGGCAGGTATAAATACTGTTAAAGCACTGAGATGGCTCAGTAAGTAAAAGGGAGAGAATCCACACCACACATAAGGGACTACCATGCAAGCACTGACAACCTGAGTTTTATCCCCAGAACCTTTGTAAAAGTAGAATTGACTCCATGAGGTTGTCCTTGTGACTTCCACACACATACCCCCCCCAAACACACACACACACACACACACACACACACACACACATAGTATGTGGATACAAGATTTAAAAGAATAAAGCACTGTCAGACTCTAATAAAATCACTATTAGTGTTAATGCTGTTTTTATTTGTATTTTATTTCCTTTCTGATATTTCTCTTCCTACAAATAAGAAACTGAGGGATAAGGCAAGTAGACTCCCTAACTAACAGTTGTTGGGTTCTCCTTTGCTGCCCACACTGCCTTGAGCACAGGGACTGTCCGTTCAAATACCCTTGTCTTGAACACTCCAAGGACCCTTGAGAAAATTGTAGAACTATGGCTAATCGCCCCAACCCCTGAAGGCACAGCCCATCTAGGGCTGTTTGTAATGTTTTATACCAGACTTGTTATCACAAGCCTTAGTGAACCCTAAATGACCCTGTAACCATTTCCACTTAGACTAGAGGGACAGAACTTCTCCCTGGTGGCCTAGCAGAGTGACTGCTGTGACTGGTCTCAATAGGACAGGGTTGTGATTGGCTCAAACACAAACCTGGTGCTGTGACTGAGCCAAACCATTCTCTGGCTATATAAGCAGGCTGCTCAGCCTCTCTTAAGGAGTTGGCTGTGCTGTCTTTCCGGGCTGCTTCCCTGGGTCTTCCAACATTAAGCCTAGTAAAAGGCTTCTCACCAGTGGTTTCATCTTGCCAACTTCCAGTCGTGTGGGCTGAGGAGTGAAGGAACAGGCAGCTAATTGACAGTAGCAGCAACAACTGAGCAGTCTGGAGAGTGAGCTGTGAAACTGGCAAGGCTGTTTGACAGCTGAAGGGGCAGCAGAGCAATTTCAGAGTGGCCAGGAGAGGAAGGGCCAAAGAAGTAGATGGCAAGAGAGAGCAGAGCGGAGTCTGAAGAAGGGTGAAGGCTGTAATGATCTGAAAGGAGAAACTGCAGACTTGGTATTGAACAGCAGTAGAGAGTTGTCAAGTCTTGTTTTTTTTTTTTGGGGGGGGGTGTCTCATTTTAGACCTAAGTAGCCAAGGATGATCCTAACTCTTGATCCTCCTGCCTCTGCCTCCCAAGTGCTGGAATCACACACATGTGCCCTCCTCCCCCTCCGTGTGGTCCCCCCTCCCCATCCTCGTCCTGCTGCTCCGGCTCCTGTCCGCCTGTTGCCCTAGTTGCTGCTGTCAAACACCAAGAGAAAACAGAAGCTGCCAGACACCAGAACTTGAAGAGTTTCTCCTTGTTTACCATGATTTCTATCTGTAGACGGCAGAAGGATCCCAGTCATCTGACAAATAACGTGTTATAAAGAGAGAACTGTCTCAGTGGCTAAGTCACCAGGTCTTGGGCGCAGGGTACATGTGCTGTGATTCAAACCTACCTCGCTTGTCCGCCCCTTCCCAACATTACCAAGTGTTTTTTCCAAAGCACTTGCTAAGACTTGCCCCATCCTTTGCTTGGTTCTTGATCCTGTCTTCCTCACACGACATATAGACCTCAGGCAGCCAGGGATTTTTGTGTTTTCGTTCTCTCACCTGTGCCAGAACCATGTTTGGAATAGAACAAGTGTCAATGGGTTGTTTGAATTTAGACACGCCTGAACTTTGAGACATAGCTCCCTCTCCCTCGCGAGAACAGGAAGAGAAATTGCCCCTAAATTGGTGCAAGAGAAAGCTGGCTGAGTGACGTAATCATCCCGCGCAAATGTGGAGAGTGTGAACTGCGGTTTGAACCCATGGATCCACACGGTCTACGCAGACCGGCCGTAGAGCGCGTACTCCGCGCCTTCCTTCCTCACCTTCCCTCCGGGTGAGGCCGGAAGTGCAGTCGCTTCCGCCGAGCGCCGGGCGGAGGGACGCGTGGAGATGACGCAGCAGCACCGGAAGCCGCTCCCCTGTGCGGCCGCGGAGCGGAGCGGTGGCCGAAGGTCCAGGTCTGTGTACTGGGCAGGCGGGGCGGGCGGAGCGGGCAGGCTGTGGGGCGCCGCGGCGCTGCTGACCCGCCCTCGGCCCGTTGTCTCCTCTCCCCGCAGGCGCCATGGCTGCGGAGCGGACCCGGCCGCTGCGACGCTCTGGCGGCCCGAGCGCGCCTAGTCGGTGTGAGCCCGGCGCGAGGTCCCGGGCCCCGGGGCGCTCGCTCAGGTCAGTGCCGCGCGGAACTCGGCTCCGGGAACGGGGTATCAGGGAGCTGCCCACGGGCCGCGGGACCCCGAGTTCCTTTTAGAGACAGGAAGATTAGGTTTGAGTGCCTGCCGCCTCATGCCTCAGTTTCCCTAGGCGCGAAATGAGCTAGTGATGGCCCAGGGTTACCGGGAGCTTGAAAGGATAACATATGGACAGGTGGTTTCTGAAATACCAAGCTGAGTAGTGTGTGTAGTAAGGCACCGTCATTGTAGTCATGCCTTGAAAACAGGTGTGTATGTGGGATGCTGCTTTAAAACAAATAAAAAATAACAGTATTCGTACTAAGTAATGACAGTACCGGGAAGTCATTGTATGCTTGTGATGTGCAGGTGCTGTGCGGAACGCCTTATGTGCTTTATCCTGTTTAAGCCTCACAAACCCTCGTAGGTAAAGCAGTACCAGGCTACAGTTTTCAAGTTGAGGAAACTGGGCTTGAATCGATGAAGTGATTTGCGCAGGGTCAGCCAGCACCAAATGAAGTTGCACAACCCATATTTTATAAACAGTATTTGTAGTCTTTCAGAGCTTTTAAAACATCAGTACGAAAGGCTTTTAGACCAGGGGTAGTTGTGAACTGTAGTCCCAGCATACATGAGGCTGAGGTGGTAGAATTGTGAATGGAAGTCAGCCTGGGCTGCACAGCAACATACTGTCTAAAAAAAGAAAACAAAATTTTTAAATGCTCCCAAGCAAAAAAGGAAATTTAAAATAGAAAGTGTATTTGCATGGTTTTAAATTCAGAAGGGTGCACAATTGAAAGGTAACTCATTCCTTTTCCAGTTCTCTGGAAGCTGCCTGTGTTACCAGTTTCTTGAATATTAAAAGTATTTTTTATGCATACCTAAGCATATGCGTGGTGTGTGTCTATGTGTGTGTGTGTTTTCAAAGCCTCTTCTTTTAAACTGGTTATACTTGGTATGAAAATGAGTTGAGGGATGAAGCCTTCCCAGCAGGCTTTTATTCTTTAAAAAAATTTTTTTCTTAGCTGGACTGAAGAGATGGCTCAGCAGTTAAGAGCACTGACTGCTCTTGCAGAGGAACTGGGTTCTGTTTGGTTCCCAGCACCCACATGGGACTAACTGTAACTTCAGTCCTAGGGGATCTGACACCCTTTGGCCTCTGAAGGCATTGTACAACAATGGTTGCATTTATCTGCAGGCAAACACTTTTGCACACATACAAATAAATAAATCTAAAACAGCTTTTAAATTTATTATTAGTGTGTATGATATTTGGGGCACGCACGCACGTGGAGTTCAGAAGACAACTTTGTGGAATGGGCTCTCCGTAGAACCGGGGTTGTCTGGCTTTGCAGCAAGCGCTTTTACTTGCTGAGCCATTCCTTTATTGGACCAGGTTCTGGTGGAGTGGAAGGAGAGGAGCATATGCATACCCTACATCCAGAATGCTTTGCCTCTAGTCAGATAGGGGGTAGAAGTTTTGCTTTGGGAGAGTGGGGACTGGGTAAGGTGTTGAGCTGCTACTTCCTGTGCAACTGTGGGAAAGCCCCTCCACTTGGGAGGTAGGTAGACTTCTTCCGTTGTTAGGAAGAGCGGCAGTACTTCTATTTTCCCTCAGCCATGTTAGGATCAAATGAGGGGATATTTGTGAGCATTGCTTTGCTCCTGAGAGCCGGTATAAATCCAAGAATCACCTAGAGGAGCACAGTGAATTCATGGCAAAACCAGAGGTCAGACCCAGTCTCCCATCTCCATCTCCCAATTTCCTAAAGATTCTTCTTATTACACTACACATTTCCTTGGAGCTGTGTAATTGCTTCTGTTAAGGGCTGGAGTACAAATTAAATGTTTAGTTTGAGAAGGGGAACAAAGGGCAAGAACCAAGGAGTTTGTATAGAAAGAAAAGAGATCCTAAGAAACAGTTATTCCCTCAAATCAGTAACTGCCATTAATTGTAGAATTAGACACCCAGTAAGTTTGAGTCCTTGATTTTTTTCTTCTAGGTATGAAAAGAAACTTTGCTAAGATCTTAGATCGAAAGGGGTGTTAGGCCCCATGTGGTGGTGCATGCTTTTTAGCCCAGCACTCGGGAGGCAGAGTCAGGTAGATCTCTGTGAGTTCAAGGGCAGCCTGGTCTACAGAGTGAGTTCTAGGCCAGCTGGGACTACCGGGAGACCCTGTCTGAAAAAGACCAAAAAAAAAAGAAAAAAAAAAAAGAGAGAGAGAAAGGGGCGTTAGAAGGTCATGTCCATTACAGCCTCAGTGCTACACAAAAGATTCCTGACTAAAAGTACCTGCTATATATATCTCTGCTTTGTTTCTGATTCTCACATGCTAAAGTTGGACAGTAGCTTCTATTTTGCAAATTGAAGTTTTAACATTAGTTGAACATTTCCATGATCATACAGAAAGTTAAATCAGTTAAAACAACTTTTTTGGTTCAGTACTTTGAGTTTTCTTGCCTCTGTCCAGCTGTCCTGACACTACAGTAATGGGAAACTCTGCACTTTAGAGGTGGCTATTCCATTGTTGGAGTGCTCTGCCGGTTTAAGAGCTCCTCCTCCTTTTGAGTTGAAATCCTACTTCCTGACGCTTCCCTTGGGGGAGCCTTGTGTTACCAGTACATGTGATTCCTGGAGGCTCTGAAAAGGGTCAGTTTAGACCTAAACCCGTAAGGAGCTTCCCTCCAAAGTTAGTTAATTTTTTTTAGAAAAATAAAAATTGGTGGGTTTTTTAGTATGTTCTACAGAGTTAATGGGACCAACTCTTTTTAAATATCTTCCATAATAGAGATGAACTAGAAAACAGCCTCTTATAGGGAGTTGAACAGCTTATAGAATAATCTCTAATGTAAGAACTGGACAAAGGAATTCTTATTAGGAGATAGGTGAATATACAAATCTCAGAAATGGTTAGGCTTTTACATTTGTCTACTGTAAACCATGTGGGCATATTAATTTGTCCTGTTAATGGGATATCTCTTAGGTATTTACAAATGACAAGAACCTTACAGTGTTATAATGAGTATTTAAAATTTGACCTGTGTGACCAGTTAAATAATGGAGTCCACATAAAATAAGCATTTCTATGACACGTGTGTGGTGTGTGTGTGTGACAGAGAGAGAGAGAAAGTTTCTCGCTTTTCATTGCAAAAAAATTGTTCTAGACAGACTTAGTGGTGCACATCTGTAATTCCAGTTCTCAGGAGGTGGAGGCAAGAAGCTCCCTTGTATGAGGCCAACTTGGGCTACATAATGGTACTCTATCTCAATAAAAAAGAATAAATAATTCAAGGGCATGTGTTTTGAATTGCACAACATTAAATAGTGGTTGTGATGTTATAGATGCTCACAGAAAAGCATTATTTTATCTTGTGGATGTTCTTAAAAGTGGGATTTTTAGTTAGGCATGGTGGTACATGGTTATCCCAGGACTCTAGAGATAGAGGCAGGTGGATCTCTGAGTTCAAGGCCAGCCTGATCTACACAGCAAGTTCCAGGCCAGCCAGGGGCACATAGTGAGGAGACCCTGTCTCAGCTCCTCACCCCCACACAAAGTAGCATTTTTATGGAGGGTTGCTACAGTTCAGTTAAAGGAGAAGGCTTTTTGTGTGTGCATGTGTAATTGATAGAATGATGTGGACTGCTTAGTTTTAGCAGATGAAGAACTAGAAGTCTTTCATGGAAAATAGTATGTCCTTTAGTCCCAAACCTTCGGCTTTACAGGTATTCCAGAAGCCAAGACTCACAAAGAGAAGCTGTGGCTGAGGGCTTGGCCACTCATGTGCTGCTGCTTGTCTAAAAACATTCTTGGCACATTGGATACAGGAACTTTACTTTTTATTCGCTTTACATTAACAGTGTTGGAGGATGAGATACATAACTTTTCGTGTAAATCTAGTCTAGGTGACATGTCTGGAAAGAAATTTTTTTCTTCCCAATTAATGTGGACATAGTTATAAAAATTATATGGCTTTATCTTGTAAGTAATCAGAAGTGATTTTTTTTTTCAGAAAAGCCATGGAATTGTCTAAACATAGGAAAATAAGAAGTCCATATGAGCCTGTTACCTAATCACATCATCTGTCAACACATAATAAATCTTTTTTAAAAAGTGTTTTTATTTTTTGTTGTCGTTCCATTAGTCTAGTCCTCATTGTGAAGGACAAGTTGACACTTGTTGATACTAATACAGGAGACTTTAAAATTGTTTTGTCCCAGGTATCCCTGAAGCGATTTATTGCTTTCTGAAAAGGGAAAATGGAATAATCAGGTAGACATAGTACCCTCAGAGGCTAGCACCAAATTATGAGTCTTTGGTTGTGCCTGAAGTGGGGAGAGGGGGAGTGCTAGGTTTCTTTTTGTGTTTTAGTTGGCTCCTAGGCTGAACTAACTATATAGCCAAGACTGACCTTGAACTTTGAGCTGTCCCGCCTTCACCTGAGTGCTGGGATCCCAGGTATGCCAGCTGGCACTCTGATCCTGAGAGCACATGCCTTCTGTTCTGCTATTTTACTAGCTTTATGACCATAGGCAGCTTACTTAGCTTCTTTGACCTGTAATTTCTTCATTTGCAAAGTGAAGATGATACCTGTTTTTTTTGGTGAGCATCAGAATGATTATTTTTGTTTTGTATTTTTGAAATGGAGTATTGCTTTATTGTCCAGGCTGGCCTTGAACTTAACCAATCCTCTTATGTCAGCCTCTTAGTGGCTAGGATTACATCCAGCACTGTGGGGATTATTAATTTGCTTTATCAAGTAGGCTTCTAGGACCCTCAGGGCTCTCTAGGGCACATGATGAAGAGTTGTCATTAGCTTATATGAGGCTTATAAAAGCAAACTTGTATGGCCTTTTGTAATTCCTGTTCTAACAGGCAGTACTAATAAGGAAGTGG